TTGGCATCAGCCAATCAAATCCCATTTATGCAAATCCCGCCAGTGCAAGCGCAGCCAATCAAACCGTGTGCAAGCTGGGAGAGCCAGACCGCAGTTCATTTCCTCATATTCCAAACGAGATATTACGGTAGCAAATCACCCGGTTCTTTACGACCGGAACTATTTACCGGGATACAAACCGGAGGAACCAGGCATGGAGGGAGGTGGCAGAGACAGTGGGTGAAACTGATAGTTTTTTCGCCTGTTTGGAGAGTTTATATCCAGTTTACTTCGTTTTAACATTGCTATTGCTTTGTATGTCGGGGGCGGGAGATTCATGTGATTGGTTGCTCGCAAAAAATTGCCAAGCTTCAGACACGCCCAGCTTCAAGATTTTTTCATGCCTGTAGTGTAGACGGGCCGTACTGGCATATGCACAATAGCTATAGTGTAGTTATGCCCAAGGTGACTCCGACATGTTGACTACATGGGGTGGGATCGTACCTCTGACCAACTTATTTGCGCACACTAATCCCCTGAGGGATCAGCCTCCAATGGAACTTGCTATATCAAAAACATATGTCAACATTCAAAGACTACTCCCACCTACTTAAAATACAGTTAAGAAAATAAGCCAATGAATAAGTTGTCACATATTTCAAAAGTATTCAAGAAGCTTCTTTAGAAACAACTACAGATAGGCCCTACAGCACACACAGGCAAAATACATCTTTCATCATTTTATTTCCCAATGTGTTTTCTAGTAATAGAGATTTGTTATAATATTTTGTTTTTTTATCAATTGTCATGTCATTCTATGCACTTGGAGTAAGGATGAGATTGTTACATGGTTAGTATTCAAATTGTAAACAGAATGTTTCTCAATGTATGCCAGGAAAAGTTGCTGACAATGTAAAAACGAATCCAAATAAACGAAAATAAATGTTCTCAGCATCTCTTCTCTTAAAGCATGCAGTTATGATAATCAGGGCCATCATAGCCAACACAGTTAACGTCCTGAACAGAGGGTATATAGTTCCTTCCTGAAAGCTGTATTCATTCAGAATCCCTCTCAAAAGTTTCAGGTGTGTTAGAGTTCAGCCAGACTAAACTCTGCATGAGTTGAATGAGGCAAAAAACAATTTAAAGCGAGTAGCTACAGTAGATGCAACTCTGCCCTTCTTCCTATTTTTGTGGAACATAATGAAAATAAGAGTAGGGGATTGATCTTCCATAAAAGAAAACACACTGTTTTTATTATAGTGCTCCTTGGGGCCACTCAAGGTTCCACAAGAGTGAAGGTTACTTCATGCAGAACACAGTGAACAAAAGTGCCAACCCATTGAAGAAAGACTTTAAAAAGGTACCCTGTGGACTTTTTATGCTCGGGAGTTTTTACGAGTAGGCCCCTGTTCTGTTTGCATAACGCTAGAGAATACATCTCTGCCACCGGATTAACATCATTTTACTGATTGACAACTGGCGACGTCAATGAATGGATAAACGTGAAAAAGGATTTAAAAAGACTTGGTCAAAAGTCTGTGGATTTATGGTTCGTTTTATGAGTAAGTCTCTGTTTGCTTTGTATTATGCAAGAGAAAACATTGGCACATCTGCAAATGCATATTCCTGCCACCGGTTTCACATAATTTTAATGATTAAGAATTGGCGACATAAATTATTGGATACTCGTAGCAAAGCTCCAATAAAGGCAAAGAAGAAGACAGCCAGCCAAACAATGTACAATTTAGAAGATGGTTGTTGAACTGACAAGGATACACACAAAAATGAGCGAACAGAAGTTAAATATAAGCTTAACCCATTTTTTGTACATCCGTTTCAAGTAAACGCGGCAGTTCACCTTGAATGTAGGAATAAAAATACCCCTGTGCACCTTCTGCAGAAACTGCCCTCCACTTTCTTACCTCCTTTTAAATGTGCAGAATTTCACTGACCTTGGTACACGTGGGACACTAAATGTGCAGTGTTTCATGAAAAGGCTTAGCTGGAAGGATCAGGCTGAAGTCAGAGGAGGTTCACGAGAGATCAATATAAACCTTTAGTATCTGCAAAAGGGCACAGGTTTTGGGAAAGAAAGACTGGCATTAGAAAATAGAAGGAAATGGCAAGGGAGATAGGCACAAGCATGCTTTTCTGCCCGCTTGTCTGCCAAATGGAGGGTCACAAAGAGGAGATACCACACAATTGTACTGTGAGAGAGGCACTGAAGTGCGAGGAAGAGAGCAGAGGAGGATTGCCAAGAGAAAAAATAGTTCCCTCGGTAGACAGAATGATGGAGGGCGATTTTCTTCAGATTCGGAGCGATTGATTAGAAGCGCCTAGAAGGAGGGGAACAGCTATTAACCTTACTGTGCTGCTAACATCAAAAGATATTGCAGACACACCCCTACTGTAAAAGCTTACATGAAAACACTTTCCGCCTACTGTAAACAAGGCTTTAAATAATGAAGATGTAGCTGCAGAGACTACTTTTTATGTAAAATTATGCTCATATTATCTTCACTGTGAACCCTGGTTAATGGTGTGTTTTATGATGAACAAGTAGCACCACTTCTATCTTTGTATAAGAACTTCAAATCCCTTAAATGGGTAAATGCATAGAGTACTCGTATACTGGCAAACACAAACCTTGTGCTTTTCTGACAGCAACGAGAGGCAGTTATTGTAATGTTGGGCCGTGCTATGTACATATCCCAATCTTTGTTTGTTTTACTAGTAGGTGTCTGCAGATAAGCAGCACTTTTTTGAACATTTGAATTTTTGTTCTGTCAAAACTACGAAGGGCCCACTGGTGGAAACCAACTTAAAGGCACATGTGTAGCATCAAGAAGATATTCACCAACTTGACGAAACATTTACTAAAAGTGCTGTATAGACGGAACGCTGCAAATAAAAAAATGCTGCAAGAAGCTTAAAACACAAAGGAAACGCTTATTCAACGCTTTTAGTAAAATATGCGCATGTTTTTACAAGTTGGTAAATGTCTTCTAATTGTTGTGCATATGTTGTCAAGTTGATGAAGATTTCTCTTCATTTGGGAGTGTTTTAGCACATTTGTGTCTAATATTTGAATCGTTTGTTGAATCTGCAGCACGTTTCTCGTAATGGAAATGTTTTGGGCGGTTGGAGCGCGTTTGCACCTGTAGACCATACAAATCAGAACTCGATAGAAACATTTCAAGCTCAGAAGACAGCATTGGTTTGGAATCTGGTGCCTCCAGGGATCCTGGAAGAATCCAATTATTTCACTTCCAAAATCAGAATCTCGTAAATACTGGACCATCCAAAACTCACTGTATGACACTATAATTGCAAAACAACATTATATTTATATATGTTTCTTACTATTTTAGAATCTGTGTTTGTTGCCTGTGGATGTTAGTATGCAGTTTTGCTTTGTTTCTCCTTTTTTAAGTCTGTCCTTTAACACTGATTGCAGCAGCGCTCTTAAATTCGTTGTAATCTGTAGAATGACAATAATTGCTTTCTAACTTGTAATTTGCCGGAACTGCTGACGATTCCTCCCCGATTGCCATTGGAGAAAACCTTTCAGGTTCAAAGCCTCAACCAGCCCAGTATCTCAAGGATTTATGAGTACTCTTGAATGAATAAGCATGTTGTGTTTTACGTCCAATGCGAGCATTACATTTATGTAGCAAGGGAGAACGTGTTAGTGTGGAGGTGTAGGTGATAATTGGCATCACAGATCTGCAATTACTGCTTGAATTTATTTTCCTGACTTTCCATGTAAGATATTGCATAAAGCACAGATTGGTATTTGGATGTAAAGCAGGGTTTTTCAAAATCATCAAACACTGACATTTCACTCTGGTGACATGCTTGTTCCAATGCAAATTATCCTTCAGGAAGACCTTAAATCTCCTGTGGGACTTTTCTCATCTAGACCTCTGACCTCCCTGGACAAGAGTAAGCAAAAGGAAAATCTCCCTACAGATCAATAAGGTAATACATTATCATTACTTAAAGTACTTAAAATCCAGATTTGCAACCAATTAGCACTGACTAGACAGATTTGTTTGTACACAGAGACCTAATGTTGTATTGATGACTTCTCCTGTACTGTATGTGGCTTATACTGACACTGATTCTCATTTGGCTCCTGGTCTACTTCTTAAATCATCACAGACATATGGCTCCTGTCATCTGTTGGTGCTCTGGGATTGCAGCGCGACAAAATGGTGATTAAACATGTCATCAACATTTTAACAATGCGTCAATTAAACATTCTCCGACTCCTCGTTTAATGACTTAAAAGGAAGTTATACCTCAGTTCACATTTGTGAACTGAGCTAGAAAGTGCTATGTAAGCGCTTGCCTTAGCTAAACTCTCTCCTTTGGGAAAAATGGTAGTTTGTTTCACTTCGATAAGCTAATGCTTCACATTAGCTTCACTCGGCTGGGCTAGCACTTGTTGTGATAGAAATGTGGAACCATCCTGTGTTAATCAGCGTTCATTGGCTTTGTACCACTAAAAGCACTTCCTGTTATCAGCATTGAATCAGAACTTCCTTATCTGTTGGTGACACAAAGGGATACAATACTAGAATGTACTGGAATCAAGGAAGAAGAATCTGCTGTAAAAAAAGGTGCGCTGATGGGTCAATAATGGGCAAACCACATTTTTTTTCAAGAAGCCGTTATAATATGCTTTTCCTTGGGGACAAACAAGCAGAAGGCCATGGTATCATGTTTGTCTGTGCCTCAGTGTTGTCACTTAGCATGAAACTGGCACCTCAGCAGGCCTCCTGTTTACTGTTTGGAATGACAGCAGACTCTAACGTCTGGCCTCTTGGCCTCAGCAGCATCCAGGAGGGTTAATGAGAGCGGATGAAACTGTGCTGTCAGGTGGCTGTCTGGTTGGGTAAACACAGAGGAGGATCCTGCGGGGTCTGTCATGTATAGCACAGTAACACAAGCAGAGGCCTGGTAATGTGAGTAGAGATGAGTCACAAGGTTTTTCAAAGGTTAATTCAAAAAAGGAATGTGAATTCTTAGCACTAGGGATGCGTATCGATAGGATTTTATCGATACCGATACTGCTTATCGATACCGGTATTTTTCCATACTCTTATCGATACTTTTCAATAATTTGGTCAAACCGGATACGTCACACGGGATGAGGGTTCCCAACCAACCAGAATTGTTTAAACTAAGGAAGTAGCGTAATTCATATACCGTTAGCAGCACCGTTTGTCCAGCGGCTTAACGGTATACCAATACCGTCCAATCAGGTACCGGTACTGACTTAGAACCGGTTCTCGATACCCATCCCTACTGAGCACTATTCTTTGAGTTGATTCACACTGAAATCTCTTGAACCTATTTTTATACCAGCTCACTGCCCATTGCTGACAATAGTGGCTATAAAATTGCTGTGTTCACTAAAATTGCTGTGTTCACCAGCATTGCCAGATGTGAGATAATTATCGTATTTGTGCATAGGACATGCACAATCAATGACGCCAATAAGTGGCATAATGAAAGATTGATAATTTGATCTTTTATTTGACTTTATTTCTGGATAGCAAAACATGGATCCTATGTCAGGGTTGAATAATGTTACAACTATCCAGGCAGACATGTACAGTATGCTTCTTAATGTTAGGCTATAGGCTATAATAAAAAGTAATAATTAATATCAAACGTTGACGTAATATATGTTAATATATGTGACTCTGGTTTTTGGCAAATTTGCATGCGTGTCAAAAAGAGATTTCCTGAAACAATACAGTTTAAGCTGATTTACTATGAAGTTTGTACATCAGCGTTTTTTTGGAAAAAAATGCTTGAGTGGGTTGATAATAGTAGCTATGCTATGGCCTTAGTATGTTGGCACAAGAGACAAGGGAGGCAACAGGCAAAGGTGGCAAAACTTTGTGCTACAATATATATAAGGTGATTTACGTAATATGAAGTAATGTGTGTGAATTAGGTGTTTTCAGCAAAAAGGTAGCCCGGACAGACACAGCTTAGCGACAAACCGGGTGAACCTTTTTTAGCCGCTAAAGGGACACATATTTCGTGGTTGGAGACCAAAAGCCAAGCGAAAAGGAAAAAATATTAGATTTTTTCAGGTGACTAGAAACATCTTCAACTTAATTATAATGTTGATGAGCGTCTGCTGGACGTGGTCATAGGTAATATTTGTTAAGCATAAACACTGAAGTAATGATTCAAATCTTAAAACCCCAGTTTACCTAATAATCCCTTACGTTCCTCCCCCCAGCATGAAAACAAGTATTGGCACTGGCAAGCTGACATATATCCACTACACTCTGTGCTGTCAGGGCTAATGGGATTCTGGGAGATGGAAATGGAAAGGAGGACAGGGAGAGCTCGAGAGAGAGAAGGAAGAGGAAAGAGAAAGGAGGCTTTGTAGCAGCACATGTACAGCTTGGATAAAGTAGTTTTTAGGGTTGTTAAAACGAGCATTGGTATCGCTGGTATTCTTTATATCTAAACATTTTCCACTGCTGCACACTAGCTTATCTGAGAGTATCAGCTAAATGGCTAAGTGGTAAGGAGAGGAGGGAGGAAACACTTCAGAACAAGTTTCCTGCCCTACTTTTCCACATGAAAGGTTTGTGTGCTACACTTGCTTACATAACAAAGCTCCCACACAGAAACCTCACACTTTAAAATGAAAAGCAAGCAATTGCAATCCTCATGATATGCATTTAAAGCTTTGAAAACAATGCTTTAAATTGACTGTATTAGGAGTGTGTTTGAAAATGTGAATTTCTTCCTAAAATACAAAAGCTATATAAGATGCACTTATTTTTCCCAAAAATGACTGATGGAAAGTGTGCCCCTTGTGTCCAGTCAAAAGTGTTGAGTTCAGTCATGTTTCATGTTTTTGTCTCCCACTTCCTGTTTTATTTTAAACACAAAAGGTACTCACCTTTTGTGTTTCATTCCAAGCCCCTTCATTCCCTATCCTTGTGTGTGGGTGTTTCTCAATGTCGACTACGCTTGCTTGGTAGCACATGTCTTCCGAGTCACTTGCTTCAGAAGCGAGGCAAGAACTTTTCCTGGCATTCGGAAAAAGAAGAGTGGAACAGGCTAGCAAATGTGCAGGTATGCGTCATATGAGAGGCCCCGCCTTACATTTTCCGCCACAGATTTTGTGAAATTGGTCCGTGCGCAAAGCATTGTGGGGATTTTAAGACCTCGAAATTTCTCGCGACCAAGTACGCCGGGCCCGGTAGAATTCCAAGTATGCTGGACATTGGAACAGTCCTTCGGCGGCACTCAAAATAGTGCTTATGCTTGAAATAGTGGCTCTAAAACTTCGTAGCGAGACATTTCGAGCACTTGCGTAGACTCCGCGGTCTTAAAATCCCCACAATGCTTTGCGCACGGACCAATTTCACAAAATCTGTGGCGGAAAATGTAAG